GATCATTATCCCTCACCGTGTGTGGGTACGAATTTGTTTACGAAACTCAATCAGTTTTCTAAGATAATAACCTCATTTTACCACGTATAAAAATATAAATATATATTATTACTTGATTTTGATTTTAAATTCATATAGAAAATTAATTTGTGAGATAATATTCTTATTATTTTAAATGTTATTTTAAAAATGAGAGTTTTACATTTTTTTGATTTTGTATTAGTGTTGAAATAAAATCCTCAAAGAACAAAACTCAAAACCAAATAAAACATATTTTGTATTCTTCTGTGTAGGAGATTCACTCTCCTCATATGAATACATATAGAATTTGTAAAGTTCACTAATGATACACACGAAAGACATGACAGAACTGAACAATTAAAACTTAAAATCAAGAGACATGACAGAATTTAAAGACATAATACACACGAAAAAAGAGAGTCATAGATGGACTAAAAAATTAAATTCCTATTTTGATTGAGTCGCATGAAAAATTCAGTAAAAATCTTTGATTGACTTTAGCTGAATATTGAACAACATCATGTTATTATTTTTGTTGTAAACACTTATTTACAAATAATAAAATAATATTTTAACTATTTACCATGACCGCCTAACAAAAATATGCTCAGCAGTTGTTTATAGATTTTGATGGTGGTAGAATCTAATTGGAATATTTCATGTTTATGGGTATTATCTTTTGAAATATAACATCTTATCATTTATATGAGGATTGATTTTCTATAGCCACTAATTTTATATATGTTATGTAAATTTAATTTCTATACAAAATTGAGTATAATATTAGGCAACTACAGAATTTATTATAATATTCTTTTGTTATATAAAATCATTGATAATGTTTTTACAATTTCCTATTCGTTATTAATTTTTTGAAAATTTTGAGTTGGTTGTTAATTTTAAAAAGAAGATCTGAAAATTGTTCTTAGTATTTTATTTTAAAAACCGGAATAATATTTTTTTATATAAAGAAAATAAATTTTGGAATGGTTGTTAAATTTAAACAAATTGTCGAAATAGAAATTATAATTTTTAAAATTTATTATGGTAATTCAATTTGTGTTAAAATATTAGTTAGAGTTTTAAGACATGTCATCTTTTTATTAAAGACATGTTATCATTTTTCTCAAATAAAATTAAAACAAATAAACATTCTCACTAATTGTACTTACCTTTTAATAATAAGGGGATCAATATCCGCATTTTGCAGAATGGCATA